CTGCTGACACCCAGACTGCTCACTTCCGGCCTCAGGGACCGTCAGCCACCAGCTAGGACACAAGCTCTGGCCCAACCTGGGCTGGAAGGTGAGCCCAGCTCCTTCTCTCAACAACTGCAGCAGAGAGAGACCTGTGAGGGTGGCCGTCCCCTCGGGGCCTGCAGACAGGTGCCCACCAGACAGTGCCCAGCAGACACTGCCCTGCAGACACACTGCCCTGCAGACACATTTCTCACGGAACCTGGGCAGCTGGGTGGAGGAGCCCCTGGAACCACAATGCTCCCAGTTTCTCTGAGGCCTGGGAGTCCCTCCTTCAGACGCTGCAAAGCTTGTCTTCCCACACTTGGAGACAAAGCTTAAAACACAAACATCTCCAGTTACACACGCGGCATCTCAGCTTGGACAGGAGCCTCCTGTTCTGTAGTAAACGTGTTACTACAGCCCTTCCTGCTGTGGGCGGCGGGGGGAAGAAGCCAGGAGGCGCTGGGGCCTGGGAGAGGTTGCTATGGTGAAGGCTGCAGGCCTGTGCTGGGCGGCTCCCAGGCCCCGGGCTCCTCCCTCACAACTTCACGCAGCGAGCCCAAGACCGGCCCTGATCTCCCCACCGGTCGGAAAACCCAATCCTCACATCTCCCCACAGTCCTGGGAACATCTAATATTACCCACGTTTTACAGACGGGGCATGGATTCGCGTGCCCAAGTCCGTGCAGCTGGGGAGAGGGCAGACAGGGCTGGAGGAAAAGCCACCTATCCCCAGCCCCGGCGTGGAGCCGGCTGGTTACCTCTACCAAGTGCCTACAAAAGATGCGGTTGGGCTTGCAGAGGGATTCAGACTCACCGACTCCACCTGTCTGAGCTGTGAAGGCCGCTGTGTGCCATACTCTTCAAGGGCATGATGCTAACCATTTCTGGGCACCCCATGAGCTGAGCTGCTGGAGCCCGGAGCCCCCCACTCCCCACGCCCAGGAGCTGCCCGGGCCAGAGACCAGGTGAAGAGAAGTTCCGGGCTGTTCCGCTTCTGAAGGAGAGCCTGGGCCTCGCCCCTCTTCCTAATTAGCTGTCGTTACTATAACAGCCCACCCTTAACCTCTCTGCCTATGTCCCCCACCTGGGATGCTGGGGGAGGGACCCGATGGTGGCTCCCTATCTCCGCCCTACGTTAGAACTCCCCAGGAGCGTCTGCCAGGCCAGACCCCACCCGATCAGACGGAAATTCAGGGCTGAGACCCAGGTGTCGGCACTTTCGGAAACTGTCCAGGTGATCCTCATGGGGACCACCCGTTTGAGAACCAAAGCTCTCTTGACTCCTATGACCCTCCCAGATGTGGCTCTTTTGCCAACATCTGCCTGCAAAGCCAGTGGCCACTGCAGTTTCCATTCCCCAGGTTTTCAGAATTTATGGAAAACCCTCGACTAAGCCCCACACTCAGCTTTTCAAGAGAAAGTCGCTGCTGCACGGTTTGCCCGACAACATGGTATTTAACATCTACTTCACAGTCTGCACCTGTTGCGGCCTCTCCGCTTCCGGAGGGTGGGAGCGCTAACGAGCTAATAGAGCTACTCAGCTGTCGTTCAGTTAGTCCTCCTTCCAGGGTTGCTCCCAATGGCACCCTGGAGCCCTGAGAAAAATCATTAATGTAACCTAGTCACCCAGCCTTAGCTAAGATCATTCCCACTGAGGATGGCTGAATACAGGCTGGAGAAGCGGGGACTCAGTCCGGGTGGTGGTGATGATAAGAAAGCAGCCAGGTTGACAGTAATTGCACATCAGCAACGTGACAGGTGTGTTCTTACATCATTTTGGGTTCTCACAACAATCCTGCTAGGTAAGCATCATTTCTTCCATGTTACTGCTGAGGAAACCAAGGCCCAGAGAGGTTACGTAAGTTGTTAAGGCCACACAGCCACCCAACCTACGTGGCCTGTGCTTCTGCCACCATGCCACGGCCCCTCTAGAGAGCAAGGGCTGAGGAATGGAGCAGAGACGGCCGGGAGAGGGTTAACTAGCATGTGAGGGAATCAAGCCCAGGGCAAGGAATTGCTGCAAATGGCTCAAATGAAAGGTGCCATAAGAATAAATATTATATGTGAACAATTTAACTATGTTGGGCTGAGCCTCGATGGGAGACACACGAGAACCGATGCGTTCACGGCGAAGGGCTGGCTCCCTGCAGTCAGCTCTAGCTCCTCAGATCCACCTAAGAATAAACCCGTCCTGTCCTCTGGATTACACGGCTCAACAACGTCACTTTTTAGCCAGAATGAGGTCTTTGGATTGAGGCATATTTTCACTGTTGCTGATTGTCAGCAGTGATACAAAGTGTACCAAGGGGGGAGGGTGGGGGTGGCGCAGCTGTGACAATCACTTTCTCCATGGTGTCCACATCCAGACACAGTGAGCCAGCACATTTGAGCACACACACATGCACACACACACATGCACACACACACAGTCACACTGTGCAACGNTCCAGACACAGTGAGCCAGCACATTTGAGCACACACACATGCACACACACACATGCACACACACACACAGTCACACTGTACAACATGAGCTAAGACTTGGAGATCAAACATACACACACACACTCACACCTACACTCACAAATACATATTCACACACACTCACACCTACACTCACACCTACACTCACAAATACACATTCACACACACTCATACCTACACTCACACACCTACACTCACACCTACACTCACACACACACACACACACACACACACACACTGTGCAACATGAGTGAAGACCTGGAGCTCAAACTACACACACACACAGATACAGTCACGCAGAAATTTAAAATGTAAGTCTATTATTTGAGAAAACACTGAGCTAAAATAATTCACGCGGGAAACCAGGCCGGGCGGTAGGGCAGTAAGCTCGTGAGATGTTTACAAACCCGTTTTCATGTTGTGCCCAAAACGAGTAAGTGGCCAAAGGACCTTAGGACCCTAAGGATATACAGAGATTATAGAAAGTGGTGTAGATATCAGATAGTTAAAATATTCTAAAAACATGTATTACACTCACAGTGCGGGGATTTCCTGCACACACATAGGAAGGACGCATAGTTACGTGTAGGTATCATGTATACGTTTACACGCACTTCATGTGCACACGTGCACACACAGACTGCAGCTGAGCACATGCATTTTAATAAGATGGTCGGTCTCATGGCAGTCGTTCCCTGTGGAAAATAGCCTCTGCTCTGGGAATTATGAGTAAGAAAGCCATGTCCCGTCACTGCAAATAACAGCATCGTGATACGTCGTTACACAACCTCGGGTAACACGCACCCGCGGCGTAATCTGGGCAACTGCTCCCAGAGGAGATGGGGAGAAGTTTGTGAATCCACAGCAATGAGGTCTCGGGTTAATAGATTAAAAAGAGACTCAGGATTTGTCCTCTTTAGGTTTCTCACTCTAATAGATTTTTTAAAGATTGGAAAAGAAAAAACTAATGAGACTGAAGATGGCCCTCTGCAGAAGGGCTTGAAACCCAGTCTTAAGGATTTGTAGGCAGGAGCCCTTTACCGAGACAGCAGGCAGAAGCGCGCTTACAACAGACTCGTTTTCTGTGTGAGATCCTCCTTCCACATCTCACACACGCCCACACACACGCCCACGCTCACACACACACTAACACCCCCACACTCACACACACACGCACTCACACCCACACACATACTAACACACTCACACATACACATAGTCACACCCACCCACACACATGCTCACACAAACACACGTACACACACACTCATACACGCCCACACACACTCACATACACACGCACTCACATACACACACTAATACACACACTTGCACACTAATACACACGCACACCCACACTCACACACCCACACTCACACTAATACACACGCACGCACTCACACAAACACCCACACACACGCACACTCACAGACTCACACACACACACATGCACACACATACATAGACACGCACACACACTCACAGACTCACATGCACACACGCGCACACACGCACACACACACTCACACGCACACACTCACACACACATGCACACACGCCCCTCCCCTGCCAGGCGCAGGTGCCGACCGCTGGACCAAAGACGTGGAGCAGCAAGGANTAATAGATTTTTTAAAGATTGGAAAAGAAAAAACTAATGAGACTGAAGATGGCCCTCTGCAGAAGGGCTTGAAACCCAGTCTTAAGGATTTGTAGGCAGGAGCCCTTTACCGAGACAGCAGGCAGAAGCGCGCTTACAACAGACTCGTTTTCTGTGTGAGATCCTCCTTCCACATCTCACACACGCCCACACACACGCCCACGCTCACACACACACTAACACCCCCACACTCACACACACNGAAGGGCTTGAAACCCAGTCTTAAGGATTTGTAGGCAGGAGCCCTTTACCGAGACAGCAGGCAGAAGCGCGCTTACAGCAGACTCGTTTTCTGTGTGAGATCCTCCTTCCACATCTCACACACGCTCACACACACACTAACACCCCCACACTCACACACAGACGCACTCACACCCACACACATACTAACACACTCACACATACACATAGTCACACCCACCCACACACATGCTCACACAAACACACGTACACACACACTCATACACGCCCACACACACTCACATACACACGCACTCACATACACACACTAATACACACACTTGCACACTAATACACACGCACACCCACACTCACACACCCACACTCACACTAATACACACGCACGCACTCACACAAACACCCACACACACGCACACTCACAGACTCACACACACACACATGCACACACATACATAGACACGCACACACACTCACAGACTCACATGCACACACGCGCACACACGCACACACACACTCACACGCACACACTCACACACACATGCACACACGCCCCTCCCCTGCCAGGCGCAGGTGCCGACCGCTGGACCAAAGACGTGGAGCAGCAAGGACGACACAGAGCAAAGGAGATCCTCACCTTTCTGCTGCTCGAACGCGGACGGGGCGCTGAAGTCCATGCCCGCCCGCCTCGCCCTCACCATCGGGGCCGCGGCCGCGGCAGGGCCGAGAGAAGGCACCGTCTCCTCGGCACAGTCAGCGCCGCGTCAGACCCGGCGTCACCGCCAGGACCTCTGGCTGAGAATGAAGCTGCATTGGAGCCGGGCTGTTGTCACGGTGAATGATGACCACAGGGAAATGCTGCTCCTGGGGCTCCTGCGGGGAGGCTCCTCTCGCGGCCTCGTTCCTCAGCTGAGCCTGGGCGTGNCACGCTCACACACACACTAACACCCCCACACTCACACACAGACGCACTCACACCCACACACATACTAACACACTCACACATACACATAGTCACACCCACCCACACACATGCTCACACAAACACACGTACACACACACTCATACACGCCCACACACACTCACATACACACGCACTCACATACACACACTAATACACACACTTGCACACTAATACACACGCACACCCACACTCACACACCCACACTCACACTAATACACACGCACGCACTCACACAAACACCCACACACACGCACACTCACAGACTCACACACACACACATGCACACACATACATAGACACGCACACACACTCACAGACTCACATGCACACACGCGCACACACGCACACACACACTCACACGCACACACTCACACACACATGCACACACGCCCCTCCCCTGCCAGGCGCAGGTGCCGACCGCTGGACCAAAGACGTGGAGCAGCAAGGACGACACAGAGCAAAGGAGATCCTCACCTTTCTGCTGCTCGAACGCGGACGGGGCGCTGAAGTCCATGCCCGCCCGCCTCGCCCTCACCATCGGGGCCGCGGCCGCGGCAGGGCCGAGAGAAGGCACCGTCTCCTCGGCACAGTCAGCGCCGCGTCAGACCCGGCGTCACCGCCAGGACCTCTGGCTGAGAATGAAGCTGCATTGGAGCCGGGCTGTTGTCACGGTGAATGATGACCACAGGGAAATGCTGCTCCTGGGGCTCCTGCGGGGAGGCTCCTCTCGCGGCCTCGTTCCTCAGCTGAGCCTGGGCGTGAGGATCGTACCCCCCCCAGACAAACGGAAAAGCCCAGACCTTAAGCGCCGGTGCTCACGGGGGCCCCTGCCTTAGATCCGCACCAGGAGCAACTGGGGGTCACGGAGCGTTGGCAGCTGGGCTGTGGCTTTCAGCCAGAGGCTCTCCCAGGGTGAGTGAAGATCCGGGGGCGACGGAGCATGTGCGGAGCGGCCGGGGGGTTGCAGGCGGCTGTGCTCTGGGGGGGGGGCAGCCGCATCGGGTCACATGAGCGGATGCTAGCTCCTGGGACAGGACTCGGATGCTGCTGCAGGAGGCCGCTGACCACGGGGCCCTGCTCACCTGCGTCCCCCCTTCGGCTCCTTCCAGTGACAGGAATGAGGCAGAGAAAGTGGCTTTGAGGGCTTCAAGGCTCGGGTGGCCACAGTGACACAATTAAAGCAGGCTGCAGCCCACCGGGGTGTTCAGTGAGGTACACGCGATGGCAAACCTGAAAATCACCGGTGTGGACGTCATCTGAGGAGCCGCTGAGACAATGGTAGTAAATTCACAGTCTAGACTTAAAAATCAGAGGTAAATCTATACACAGGGTGTCCCAAAAAATGTGTGCACACTGTAACAGCTGATAGCTGTTAACTAAAAATGAAGCGTATTTTAATAAACGCTGTCTTTATACTGATTCAAAGTGTGTGTATACATTTTGGGGGGACACCCTATATATTTATCTGGTGGGAATGTCTCTAATCTATTGTTAAAAAAAAACAAGCCATATATTTTATTTGTTTACAGTTTATAAATCCAGCGACCACCCAGTGTGCATGTGAGAATGTTTATACGTGTTGTAGGAACACTGAGGAACATACAGAGACATACACTGGACTGTTAGCATTGGATCCCGCAGGGCATTGCAGTCAAAGCAGGAAATTTCTAAGTTGTCCTTCACCTACCTTCGTATTTTCAGGGTTATTATAACAAGTGTCTATTATTTTATATTTATAATGAAAAAGCTGATAAAATATGTTCAAAACAAACGAACAAAGTGCTACATTCAAGACAGTCACCTTTAGGGAGAAGTCACACAGTCATGTAACAGGTGCTCCCGGAAACGGCGTTGATCACATGGTAACTGACTGTCTTCTTTTTAATGTAATTAAAAAGTGCTCACCATTTATCTTCCCCACACCGGCGCCTCCTCGCTACGGGCCCCTCTCACCTCACTGCTGCCCCCCCACCTGACCCGTGGACGGAGCTTCCATGAGACCAACACCGGTCGGGGGTGAAGAAGTTAAATATTATCACCCACGGGAAAGAGCCGCGGGCCACGCGGCAAAGGAGTCCTGCTGTGGTCTTGGCGTCAGGGGCTGCTGGACGACTTCTAGGGCTGGTCCTCTGCGGCCAGAGGGCCCTGCTCATAGGTAACGTGGGCCTTGTCTAAGCTGGGCCCTTACGCCGAGGAGCCACCGCCTTACAGAACTCCGCTCTCATCCGAAGTCCCGGAGGAACACTACTGGAAACTGACGCTGTCCCTTCAGACGCCCAGCTGTCTCTTTACACTCTACTCACCCTTTCATGAAGCAACGAAGTGAGCTCTGTCCCTGTGCAATGTGCTGTAGGCTGAACGTATAGTAAGTCATACTGTGCATATGTATCTGCGTATGTTTGTAGATGGATTATATCTATTGTCCATCCAGCCACCAATCGTCTGTCTATGGAAAGACACCTTTATATACGTAGTTTCCCTAAGACAATTTTTATATTGCGTTGGTCTTACGACTCCTACCTTTCAGCATTCATCTGTATTCGCTCGAACACACACACGAACATTTAGCGCCTACTATGTGCCGGGGACTTTAGAGCTGAAAATACAGCTCCTTTATAAAGATTTCTTTGAGCCCAGCCGGGCGTGGCTCAGGGGTTGAGCGTCGACCTAGGATCCAGGCGATCGGGGTTCGATTCCTGGTCAGGGCACATGCCCGGGTTGCGGGCTCGATCAATGACTCTCATCATTGATGCTTCTATCTCTCTCTCTCCCTCTCCCTTCCTCTCTCTGAAATCAATAAAGATATATTTAAAAAATAAAAAATAATAATAAAATTTAAAAAAATCCTCACCCAAGGATATTTTTTCCATTGATTTTTTTAGAGAGACTGGAAGGGAGAGAGAGAGACAGACAGGGAAACACCGATGCGAGGGACACGTCGATTGGTTGCCTCCGGCACGTGCGCAGCTGGGCCGACGGGATCGAGCCTGCAACCAGGTTCGTACCCTTGACCGGGAATCAAACCTGGGACCCTTCAATCTTATGGCCAACACTCCAGCCACTGAGTGAATGGTCAGGGCACTCACATGACAATTTAATGAGCACTAACTATGTCTCAGGAGATGGTCTTCCTACTGGGGCCAAGCAGGAGACAAAATAGGGAGGTGGTTCCCACCCACTGAGGCTCGAAGTTTGGGGGTGAGTTAGGAGGCCCCCTCCTGTGGTTTCTCAGATGTCACTCTTGGTCACCAGAGGCTGAGGAACTGTCTCAGGATGACCAAGTCCCGTGAGAATGCACCCCCGGCACCCAGAGAGCTCTTCCTCCCGCCCCACCCCGTCCTGCCGAGCCTGGCTCTCTGGCGGGCGGGCTGCTAGCCTCCCCAGGCCAGACGGAAATGCAAAGGGTCTTCCCACCTCTCCTCCCAGGGAGATGCATTCGGGCTGGTGCTGGTCGCTGCGTTGCCGTCAGCATGGCTGTCCACACAGAATAACTTGGCCCTTGGTCAGAGAAAGACAAACAGCGTATGATCTCACTTATATGCGGAACCTAATGAGCAAAATAAACTGGCGAACAAATGGAACCAGAGGAATGGATGCACGGAAGAGGCTGACGGCTGTCAGGGGGAGGGGCTGAGGGGGACTGGATGGAAGGAGGTGAAGGGATTCGCTAAAAAACATATACACGTAACAGACACAGAAACTGCGTGGTGATGGGCCCGGGGAAAGGGGAGTGCGGGTGGGGGGAGGTGGGCAAAGGAGGGGAAATGGGGTTGGGAAGACACTTTGCTTGGGGCGATGGGTGCCCAATGCAGCATGCAGATGATATTTTATTGAGTTGTACACTTGAAACGGTACCCCCCAAAATTCAATAAAAACAAGTGACAAAAAATAGAATTAAAAAAAGGAAATTATGTGACAGATATCAAATATTTACATGAAAAAAGAACACAAAATATTTCAGTATTTTGTATATTTATCTCATGTTAAAATGATATTTTAGCCCGGCCGGGCGTGGCTCAGCGGTTGAGCGTCGACGTAGGATCCAGGCGATCGGGGTTCGATTCCCAGTCAGGGCACATGCCCGGGTTGTGGGCTCGATCAATGACTCTCCCATCATTGATGTTTCTATCTCTCTCCCTCTCCTTTCCTCTCTCTGAAATCAATAAAGATATATATATTTTTTAAATGATATTTTAGGTATGTTGAGTTAAATAAAATATATCATCAAAATTTTTAAAAGAATAATTTAGCCTTTATTTGTAAAATCTCAAGTTGGTCTACCTGAAACTTTTTGTTTCTCCAAGTTGTACAAATTGTTTCATTTTTGATTCCACCTCAGCTGGAAACCTTGGGGATTAACAGCCAGTGTCTCTGGACTGTGGCCACTTCCTCAGCAGCCCCGTGGATCTGGGCAAACAGCAGGTAAAACAGCCCACGACCCCAGCCCACGCTGCTTTTAAATGTCTGTGTGGACAGTGAGCCCGCTGAACACCTCAAAAGTGTTTTTAAAAAGTTCTAACTTTGGCCACATCTCCTTTCCTTCTATTTTTGACTCATGAACGATCGGCCAAGTTCAACGCAGTCCCGCGGTCTGAAGGGAGGGCTGGCTCCAGGACCCTCCCTCCCCGTCGCTCCCTGGCGGGCGGGAGTGTTTAAATGATAGTTTTCTTTGCATTAATTTTTCTGAGAGGAAATCCTTGTGAGGAGTCCGGTTGAACTTGGCTCTCCAAAGTTTCTTGTACAGTCAGGAAAACAAAATTTGAGGTTACTAAGCAGGTGAATGGAAGAGAAGCCGTGGCCGTTTGCCTAGAATCGTGGCTCATGAGGCCGAGTCT